CCAGATGGCTAGGCCTCAGACTGACGAAGCCTCTTGGATGAGGGGCGAAACGTTTCTTTTTAACAAAAAAACGAAGTCCAGATGACATGATTCAACCTTTTTTGTTGTTCATCAATATAATTTACAGGTGCTGTTTACTCACCAATAATGATGTATTTGAAAATGTAGGAGTAGTTATATGGTGCAGTGGCCATTGTGGCTCTGGAAGACAAAAAAAGTGGGTATTAAAACATTTTTTAGCTAATGCAGCCAAATAAACAGATTTAACATACAGTACGTACTCAAGACATATAAGACAAAACACTTAAGTATTTCTTTCTAACATTTAATATCTGTCCATCACTTGGTAAGTAACCTTTTAGGGGAACTCTGATCTAATTGCTAATAAGCTCAGTTTATCTTGCAGTCATGAACTCAAAACAAATTAGTTCATTACTGCAAGTTAATTAAGCAATCTGATGGAAACTGCTTTTTGGATGGAAGCTGCTATTTTGCAAGATAGCAGGGCAACTGAAAAGTACCATTTATTTTATTGCTCTGCCTATACACAAGAATGCCTCCAGTATCAGCTTTGTAGCAAAATAGCTCAGATACCACCTAAATCCAGCAAATTTAAGTTTGTCCCCATGTCCTCATCTGTAACACGCACACAATATCATTCACACATATTGCCACTCTGTCAGAAACATATGTACACATCTACAAATTCAAATTGAATGCATTTAAAACACTCAAATACTTCTTTTTAACTTTTATATGTTTGGACTTAATATCTGTCCATCACTTGGTAAGGCTAACCTTTTTGGGAAACTCTGATCTAATTTCTATATTTGAGCATGACACCATTAACTCCAGCAGCACCATCTTCCTTTCTGTTGACATCTGCCTGCTGAATCTTTTTTTGATTTCCTTTTGTTAATGCAAGCCAAACATAAAGCCATTTTTTATTTGCACCAAATATTTCCCAATACTCATCTCAGCGGGTTCATGAAAGTATAATTAAATTTAACATCCAATTTTTTTCACGATGCAAGTGATTCCTGACATAAAGGCTGTTTTGGAACATGCTGATTTATGGCTGCCACATAATGACTCAAGTGCTGTTGAAGAAAAAAAAAAAAGCAGATATTTATTTTTGAGTTAATAGAAAGCATATTCACTTGGCAATCTAATGATTTTTTTGGACCTTGTCCAAAGATTGCCAGTCTTGAAGCAGTCTTTAATTAAGTCAGAAACTCGGTGAAAACTGTGCCACATGTCAAAGCAATTCTTTGCAACTAAAATTATTGTACCACATCTGAATCCAGAGCTGACATTGCATTCATACTTCTGCAACTGCAGTTTAGTGACCATGTCTGACTGACTAGATTAGTACAGACACAACCAATAAAAATGTGGATGGACTCTGATAAGCAGAACCACACACGCCTGGATGATTCTTAGGTCATAAAAAGGTGGTTTAACAAACTAAACAACATTCCTCTGAAAATGGTTTGGTGCAAATACTTGACTGAAAATCAGTGGTGAAGCAACTAATGTCCAAAAGAAAAACTCTGAAAGACCATGACGAATCTCCACTTATTTTAACGTTGGTTCACGTTCAATCCTTTGAGGAGGCAAAATAAATCTGATGCCTAGTAAATGTACAGAAATATACACAAAAAAATGAATTTAAAATGATCCAAAATATAATAAAGCAGGAAAATTCAGTCTAAGAGTCTGCGATTCAATTAAATTCTGTTTATACAGTGCCAGTTAGCATCAAAGTCTTAGCACATACAGTATACAAAAAATTTCACAGTGTCAAATGGAAATTAGTAAAAGTTATCCATCTAGACAAGCTGGCAGAGTGTGTCGAAGGATTTTAAAGATTCAGAGAAACTTTGTAAACAACTTGCACAGCTAAAAGTAACAACAGCAATTATGTTCTTGCTGGTAGTCCAAGAGATGACTTGGCTCACACCATCGAGCTTAACAAACTTTGCAACTTCACCCGGTATTTGGCAATTTTACTCTGGTAAACAAAAGCTAAACAGAACCTAAAAGTTATGTAAAGTCTTATTCCATCCATTACATGCCATCTGTGTACCAACTTGGTTTTACCTGTTAGAGCGATAACTACTTTAATCTTACAGTTATGACCAAAACAAACTAAATAAAGCAAACAATTTGTTTATATGCATATTCTTCAGGTACTCTAAATTTTACATCTTCTCTTAATTTTAACTTATTTGATTGCTGACTTGACAACATAATAAGCAAAAAAGAAGTGCATAATACTGGAGTCAGGATGACACAATGATGACTCAGTATTTAAGTTTTAAGATGGGGATAAACCCACAAACAGTCAAATGCTATTGTAATTCTTTAAGCTAAGAGCATAAAGGGTTGTCTTTTTTCCAAGCTGCCTTTGATCACATGACCATCTTGTGGCCACTCGTTTTTATTATACGTGATGGAGTAATCTGTTAGAATGGTTCTAGCAGGAGGAAAAACTAGATGTGGGCTTACAGAAATTAACCACATGAATATTTATCAAGATGTAGCCAAGTCATCATGGCCATGTGACCAGATTGCAGTCTCAGCGTTCTTATTATTCTGCAACAAGCTGAGTCTCGCTCCAGAGAAACAGACATTTCCTGCTCTTAAATTCATTCCCCATAGAAAAGAACATAATTTAAATTCAAGAGTTGGGAATTTACCAAACGAATAGTGAAAACTTTAATTGTCATTATTATAAATGCTTTAGGAAAAATCTTTTAAAAAGCTAACGTAAGGCATCTTAAAAGATAACTGCTTGAATTTGCTGGCCAAAGTTTTGAAGAAAGGTGCCAGCGCCACTAATTTTACAAAACATGCATTCCCCCACGCATTTCCCAGAACTGAAAAGACTTGCAGTTTTTTAACCATACTGTATTTTTTAATCACAATAACTAACCCCTCTTCTTCTTAGTTTATGCATAACCTAATTAACTATTGCATTACCTTAAAGATAAAGCCAAAAATACACAGCAGAAGACAATGCAACTATTATGCAATGATTCAGACCATTTTTACTTGCTATGTCTTATTTTAAATTTTGGCAGGACGTTCAGGCCCACTGACTATTGAAATCGTGCGACAGCCTGGAAGGCTCTGAGAGTAATGTAAAAACAGGTACCAGGTGTCATCTCAGAAGCTGCCTGATGACTTAACAGATATTGTTGTTACTGATGTACATTTTTTGTCAAATTACCATTTGGTACATGTGTTGCTAAAAAAAAAAAACCTGATCATGTTATTGATATGTATACAGACAAAAAGAATCCTGAAAAATCCTGAAGTCTGTATGACATTAGGGGTAGCATTATACAGTAGGATTAGATTTTTCATGCTTTCTAAATTAAAAAAATGTGAGGTTGGATTATACTTGAGATCACATTATACACAAATACATACGAAAATTACATTTATTTAGAAAATATCACATTTTATGGCACTGCATGAAAAAAATCTATTCAATTTCAAACAGAAGACCACTTTCAACAATGTAAAAAAAGCAAACACACAAAGCACAAGTGTTTGCAGTATTTACAAAAAAATTGCTTGCTTATGCACAGAGGTGAGGTACTAAAAACAAAAACGATGCAGTAATTTAAAGGCTTATAAAAAGCTGAATGAACTCCCAAAGCAACGTAAAAAAAAGGAGGAAAAACTGCCCCTAATGTAAACATGATAATGTGATCAAGCTAACCCACTAAGCATTAGCAAAGGCTTGTCCTTAAAGATGATCATATCTCCATCACGTTCTTACAAAAAACAATAATGATCAGATAAAGTAAAAATCAATAAACTTGACTGGGTACGGTAATCTAATGTAAATGTTGTTTTACTGCGGTAAAGTGAGCCTCCAATAGTAACGTTAGCAATATCCGGTAAAATGACAGGACTAGTTTGACTAATATATTGTTTTTTAAGCACTAAAATAGAATAAAAATTCAAAGTTAACAAGTAGAAGGGGAAATAAATACAGAAGCTGACTGGGACGTTTAGCTTGATTTTTGAATCCGTCTAAACCAACAACGCTTTACTAGCTTTTTTACAGCTAAGTTAGCATTAGCTTCAGCTAATAACCTGACATAAACGTAAATTTATTGACAAGAAACCTCCTAAAAGCAATATCATGTAATGTCATTGCCACTACCAGTCGGTGCAAAATCAATTTCATATTATATTTACCATTAAAAACAAACTTGGCCTCAGCTTTATTCTACAAAAAGCCATAATAAACACAACACACAGTCGATACCTAGCAATATCTTTAGCATGCTAATTTCTCAGCTAGGTACAGATGATGTTGCTAACTTATCTTGTTACTTTAATAGGAACAAGTCATGTCCCGCATGCAACCTACTTTTTCAACCTCTAAAATGTTGATAGTTCATATTAATGAAAGAATCTACCTAATATTTTGTTAGCAAGCTTCGTTAGCTTAGCAGACTCTCCTGCCAAAGCTGTGGCTAAACACAGTTCCTAAAGTCGAATTATGTTTTTAAAAAATATAGACAGCACGTTTGTACGGGTGTGTTCAAGTATGTCCCATATGTTCTTACCGGGAATTTATTTTTTAGGCTTTGAGTTCTGGAGCTGTTCAGAAGAGGTTGGCAAGTTCTCCTGGCTCAAATATGCTCTGTTTATCCAAGATGGCTGCTCTCGGGCACAGGGTTTCCTCCGCTTTATTCAATGGGCTTCTGGGACAAAGGAGCTGCTGGTATTTAGCATTTAGCATGTGTATGTACTGTAAGCACTGAAGGAAGCCGACACCTTGACAGGTGGGTAAAGGGTTGGAGAGTAATGAATTACATGTAATCATAATTAGGTAATCTGATTACTACCTAGATTACTTCACTTAGTAATTTCACTATTTACTCCACTTTAACTTTTGGACTATATATGTATAAATATATATATATATATATATATATATATATATATATATATATATTTTTTTTTTTTTTTTTTACCACAATACTATTAAAAAATAATATTCATAAGGTAAGAGAGACAATATCAGTTTATGTCTCTATGGTATGCATTATGATATCAAATTAGAAAAAAAAAATGGCAATGATTTTCCTGCTTAAAATTAGACACCATAACAAAATAAATACACATTCTATCCATCTGTCATCCATCCATCCATCATATTTACCCGCTTATACACATTCTATAATTTTTTAATTTTATTTATGAATTACAAATTTGATGCCTCAAGGCAGCATTGTACCATACCAGTCAAATCAAAACATTTGACACTGTCATGCAAAAATAGGAATATACATTTACTGAAAACATTAATTTCTTTGCCCAGTCACTTGAACAAACAAATTTAACTAGTTTTCCATGCATTTCATATTTCATAAAATGCCACATTCATATCCATCTATTGCTCTCATGAAACAATCGACCATCACTGAACCCAAATCAAATTATCTCATCAAAACATTACAATCAGTCTTGTTTCAAAACGTTAACCATAACTTTATCTTAAGCACATTATCATAGCATGTACATACAAAAAATGCCTGCATGTGTAAGTACATTCATGAAAACCTTACTGCTTATGAAACTTGAGGAAGCAATTCCGTTCAACAGAAAAATATAGGTAGGTAGCAGATATTGAGTACTGCACTGTTGCAATGCCTGAACAGCCTGAGTATTTGCATCTCCCTTCCTTTCAACTCAAACTGGCCAATGACCCATCTGGTCAATGTGCACCAGCTTTGATGGTCGTGGTTCCACAGGAGTTATTGGTCACTGGTCCTCTTCACTGGGCTGCAGTGGTCTTCCACTTTTCTTCAAGGCCTTCCTCTCCATATGGAGACCTGCTGCAATTGTGCATATCCCTATGATGGACTTGCAACCTGTCCATGGTGTACCCCGCCTCTCGCACAGTGAAGGCTGGATTTGGGCACCAATGACCCCCGAGACCCAAAAAGGAAGAAGTGGGTAAAGGTAATGAATGGATGGATGAATGGATGGAAAATGTGGGGCTCTGTGACATGGACAAATGTGCTGAAAGAGGAAGCATCATTGACCTACAGTGTGTGTGCGTGAGTGAAAGAAAGAGAAACATCCATCCATCTATTATCTTTACTTGCTTCTTCCTTTTTGGTTTGTGGGGGTCACTGGTACCCAGGTCCAGTAGTCACTGTGTGAGAGACGGGTCCGGACGGGTCACAAGTCCATCACAGAGACACAGAGACACACGAGACAAAGAACCACTCTCTCTCTCACTCACACCTAGGGACAATTTAGAGTTACCAATCAGCCTAACATGCATGTTTTTTTGATCTGTGAGAGGAAACTGGAGTGCCCGGAGAAAACCCACGCGTGCTCGAAGAGAACATACAAATTCCATCCAGAAAGGTCCCCAGCTGGGATTCGTGCCACTGTGCAACCCGAGAGAGAAACAGAGAAGTGAAATGTCTTTAAAATTCATCTTTCTATCAGAAGTCAACTAATGACTTAATTGATGAGTTATCAGTTAAGCATTTCTCAGCAGCTTAAAATGCTTTGAGCTTCCAGATATAAGGTTCCCTCTTCCTGGAAGCAAAATCCAGTTTCTTTCCATGAATCTTACACCCTATTTTCTTTTAAGACCAGTCTTAACACTTTTCTTTTTGATAAATCCTATAGTTAGGGTCGACTTAGGTTTTTAGTTATCATTTAATTGCAGTAAATTTAGAGCGTTGGTGGACAAACTGACAATAACATCATGATTGAATTTCCAAATCCAGCTGTCTCTAACTTTGCATTCTTCGCTACACCTCGACTCCCCCAACTAGAGATACTCCTAGATCAGTAAAAAAAAAAAAGCCCATGCTCCTGGATCAGTCCTGTGATTTTATTTGTCTCTTTCTTCTCAAACCTCTGCAGGCTGAAGAAGACGACTGATCATGGTTCTGCTGGAGGTTTCTGTTAAAATGGAGTTGTTCTTCCCCACTGTTGGCAGGGTTGTGCTCAGGATGGGGGACTGCAGTGGAGTGAAGATAAAACACAATCTTCTGGTTTTCATAAATAATGTTTATCATCCATTGTATGTGAATGTATTGTAATTAAATTGAATTGATGCTAAATCTGGATTTGTCTTAAGCTGATTTCAGATTTGTTAATTTTGTTGCACACCACCCTGGGATGACTGTATTTCTATATAAACTGAACTGAATGAATCAAACTGAATTGATCCTTAAAGATGATTTAAAGACAGCGCTTTACAAGTTTCCCTTTCATTTTGTATTTGTTGTAAACCAAACATATTGTGTCAAAAATGATTAACATGCACTTTATTGGTACTGAGTAAACATCTACTAGTAAATATAAGTAGATGCATCATATTAGTCTATTTCATGTAAGATTTGAGTTATTTCAAAAAGGTTCTGTTCTTACTGAACAGAAACATGTGACTCATTTTCATTGGTTTGACTATTATGTAAAGGTCATCATGTATGATGTGACATTAAAATACAGCCAAGTCAGTTTTCTTTTGAAAAATATGAAACATTTATTGAAGTACTTCACATTACATGCTTTTACTGATAAACATTGTGTAGAATTACATGCAGTGTGCACGGCTGGCCTGCACTTTTCATTTTGAAAAGTAAACGTCCCATAACTTTAAACGATCAAACTGAACACATCTTGAAAAAGACACCAAACTCTTGAACACGGATGAAAAGATGCTCATCTCCACATAAAAGTAGATCTAAGACTTTATAACGCTGAAATCAACATATTTATTTTTTTTATTTTACGTTTTGCTCAACAGATTCTAACACAAATTTTCTGTAAAAATTAAACGTTTAAAGCTACATATGTGAATGGGTATAATGAATTCCCTGATGGCTGTTCGGTACTTCACTCGTTTGCTCAAACATATCCACAGAGCTATGTTGCCATGTGCTTCTTAATCCAAAACATGTGACAGAACCTACTTGGAGGTGCTTCACCACACTGACGCTCACTCAGCCGGCAGAATGAGCAAATATGGGTTCAGTCCAGAGTTTTCTTCATATCACAACCATATCCTGAGCAGCAGAAGGCTGAGCAGTGCACAGATGTAGTGGAGAGTGGATGGTTCCCAGAGGGGGGTGCTGTTACACAGGTCAGAGTCACAGCAGTGGATTCGCACTCCTGGCAGCTCTTGTTGCTGGCAGTGCCTGGATGTAGCACAGCCGCTGGTCAGGACGATCCCCAGGGCTGCTGAAGGGACAGAGAGTCAGGGGGAGACAGTCAGTCAGTCAGGCAGATGAGAGTGATGAGCTGGTGTTTGCCTCAGCAGAAAAAAAAAACAGCATAACTAAGCACCAAGTGGATAATGAGGTGGACATTTACAAATCTTGAGAGCACACAAGAAAGTGAAGGCAGTTCTTTAGCAAGCAGGGCATTTTGTGCACCTTAAAGAAAGAACAGCTTTATTGCGCTTGACATTCTGGACAGAATCACACACACATTGCTGACGTCCTTAACGCTTGCTGCCAAAAGCAAAAGCAATATTGTCTTTGTCTTTGTCTGTGTTAATGTTCCTAAACTTTCAGGAAATAATCAATGGAGGTGCATTTATAGCTGATTAATATTTAGAGCCAGCACAATATAGGATGCCCCCCTACAGTCAATTGAGCTAAGAAAACACAAATGTTTGTAATTTATTCAGTGTCACACATATCAGAATCAGTTTATTATCGCCATGTCAATGAACGAGGTTCACAAACTAGGAATTTGCTTCGACATAAGGTGCGAATAGTAGTAAAGTAAAATAAAGTAAAAATAAAGTAAAAATTAAGTAAAAATGAGAACATTACATAAGACATAAGCCTGTGTACACCCACAAATAAAGTAAAATTAAAACCATAACATAACCATATGTACACCCAAACAATAGAAAACAATAAAAAAGCTTTGAAAACAGTACAGATGGAGTATTCAGTTATAATACAGATGTAATGTGACCAAAGCAGACATTATGAGGTAGCATTATGAGTGTTCAGGAGTCCAACAGCAGAGGGGAAGAAACTGTTCTTATGGCGGGAGGTTCTGGTCCGAATGGACCGAAGCCTCCTGCCTGAGGGGAGTGGTTCAAACAGTCCGTGTGCAGGGTGAGCAGGGTCAGCTGTGATCCGACCTGCTCGCCTCACAGTCCTGGAGACGTACAGGTCGTGGAGGGATGGAAGGCTGCAGCCGATCACCTTCTCAGCTGAGCGCACAACGCGCTGCAGTCTGAGTCTGTCCCTGGCAGTGGCCCCGGCGTACCACACCGTGATGGAGGAGCTGAGGATGGACTCGATGATGGCCGTGTAGAACTGCACCATCAGCTTGGCCTGCAGCTTGGCCTTCTTCAGCTGTCGCAGGAAGTACAGTCTCTGCTGGGCCTTCTTGATGAGGGAGCTGATGGTTGGCTCCCACTTGAGGTCCTGGGTGATGGTGGTGCCGAGGAACCGATAAGAATTTGCAGTGGTGATGGGGGTATCCTTACAGGTGAGGGGGGGCAGAGGGGCTGTGGCTTTCCTGAAGTCCACAATCATCTCCACTGTCTTCTGGGCATTGAGTTCCAGGTTGTTGCTGCTGCACCAGGTCACCAGCCGGTCCACCTCCCTCCTGTATGCAGACCCATCACCTTCCGAGATGAGCCCGATGAGGGTGGTGTCA